ATTTACAATATGGTCACCCAACACTTAACAATAGCCTCTACCTTAAGAGATAGAGGAGACAAATGTCTGGCTCACTGCTGCCAACTAGTGGTCAGAGGCTCAACTACAACATAAAAATGAAHGGCTGGCAGGAAAGTTGACATTTTAAACCTTAATAAAAAATCGATACAGGGCTTTAGAATATCGATACAGTATCGGGAAATGAAATATCGTGATATTTCAGTGTATAAGTATTTTCTTACAACCCTAATCTTTAGTACGTTAGCAGCAGCACAATGACATCTTGTCAGTCAGATGAACAGAAGTGTGTCACTGAGCTGTTTTCACAGAAACAACACATAAAATCACCGCTGTGGATTCCTGCAGACTTCCCCTTCAGGGTTTTTCTCCTCCTGCCTTCTGATTGGTGACGCTGTCAAACAGGGGCTGTCCCTCATGAAGTCAGAGCAGAACTTCAGATCAGATCTGAGTCAGACTGAACTGTGAGGCGGTTTGTTTTTAAACTTTGAGCAGAGACAGGAAGTGTGAAATACCAGCAGAAAGACAGAAAAGTGTGTCCAGAGGAAGTAGAAGAGTGACAGGTTGGGTCATTGTGAGTTAGACTGCTGCAGGCGGTGGATCAACATCTGCAGGTGGGTTTGTTTTACATCACATCTAACTGCAGTTAACTCATCAGAAAAACAACTAACAGGCTGTTATTTGAAAGGAGTTTACAGGACAGACGTTCAGAAGTGTAACTTCTGGCCTTTACTGGTGATCTTTACCAGCTTTATAACTGAAGGTAAACATCTTAACATTCAGACTCTGCAGCAGTTCACTGTCAGAATGAAAGAACCTGCTTTGGTTAAACCTCATGCATAAAGTCCTTACTGTTCTGTGGGAATAAATTAATCTGACTGTTGAAGATCAGATTGAGTCAGGATATAATCCTGCTGCCTCTCTGTTTGTTCTGATGTTTAGTTCAGGACAGACTTAATGGTAAATGTAGTTTGTTCTGGTTTCATCTTGTTGACTCCTGCTAATTAAAGCCTATATACAGTATATATGATGAGAAGGCCCATTCTTGTGTCTACTTGCTCATGCAGGTGCGTGTTGCATAGTTCTGTCCTCGTAGCTCCTGCTGAGGCCCAGATTTGAGCGGTTACCCAGTCAGAACGTGTAGAGTGGATGCTCAGAACTTGGTGGGCGTGTTTGTTTATAAGAAGTGGCTGCAGTCAGCTGAGCCCTGAGCAGCGGGTCAAGTCTGGGAGGAAATACATCCATGTTGCTGTTCCAGTAAAAACAATAAAGCCAAAGTGGAGCGCCAGGTAACTGTGCTGGTAATGACCGGGAGTAGCTGGCATGTTCCTCTTCCTGTCAGATTCACAAAGTAATCCTTCTCCTGGGTTAACAACAGAAATACCAGATCATACCTTTGTTCTTCAGCTCCTCCACCGTCAACTCAACATAAATATCCACTCTGACAAACACTGATTGTAATGGTTCACATTGTACGTGCTGCAGATGGTTCAACCACTGCTGGCAATGTCTTATTTTATATAGTTTTGACTACGAATATTTATAGATAATTTGTCTAATTTCTTTATATTGTATATACAATATACATGTATATAGAAGTGTAAGTATATTTATGGATATAGACACACACAGTGCACATGTAGTGTATTTATTATTGATGGTTTATATTTTTCTTTTTTTATATTTTTCATGCATTTTGTTATTTTTAAACTTTCATTAAGCTCTGCGCACCTTATACAAGGTTCCTGCAGATCCTTAAAAACTCTTAAAAGGTAGGGCTGTGTTTGGCAAGAATTTGGTGATACGATACATATCATGACAGAGGGGTCACGATACGATATATCCCGATATACTGCGATACTGTAAGCAAGATGATATATTGTGATTTTTTTTTGTCCAAAAATTCTATTAATTAAAAACCTCTTACTGGTAAAAAATAAAATAAAAAACCTAAATTCATTGTTTCAGAAAATTCTAATATTACATAGACATACTTTTGATACATTTAGCTGTGTTCTGCTTTGTATGTGTTTTATTTTATTTGTTTCATATTTCTTATTTCATCCATGATTTCAATTATTAGACTAAATTTGACAATAAATAGTTTGAAAATATATTTTTTGCAGCTTTTAGTTTTTAATATTAATTTACAATATGGTCTCCCAACACTTAACAACAGCCTCTACCTCAAGAGGTAGAGGAGCCAAATGTCTGGCTCACTGCTGCCAACTAGTGGTCAGAGGCTGAACTACAACATAAAAATGAACGGCTGGCAGGAAAGTYGACATTTTAAACCTYAATAAAAAAATCGATACAGGGCTTTAGAATATCGATACAGTATCGGGAAATGAAATATCGCGATATTTCAGTGTATCGATATTTTCTTACACCCCTATTAAAAGGCATTGAATTCATCGATCCAAAAATAAGGCCTTAAGTTGTCTTAAAAAGTCTTAAATCAATCTTTCAGAAGTCTTAAAAATGTAAACACATTGTAAATAGGATGATTGTAATTTGTCTCAAATATTAAAATAATTGGTAACGTTAATTTTTTTAAACATTCACGTGCAGACGTTCCTCTTTGACATCACTTCCTGTTATTTCACATGCAAATATCTCAACATGGTGAAATTAGTTTTGTAATACGTTAATAATGTTGTCTTTCCAAAACTGTATTCACATTTTTTATAAAAAAGTTGATGTCACAGGCACTTCAGGGTTTCATCTACAGCTAATTGGGGTTGAGACCCCACTGTGGGTCCTAAAACTACAAGTTTTTGGTCGTTAGAGGATTTCCAGAAATCAAATTAAGTTTAATACTGACTGATACAAATATTTTTGCTATATTTGACAAAAAAAGCAGGTAGATATGGTTAGAAGCAATTGGTTTATTAGGAATATTTGAATAGTTGGATGGATGGATGGATGGATGGATGGATGGATGGATGGATGGAATATTTGAATACTTCAACCAAAAATACTTTGATTCATGAGTTTCTGCCTGATTTTAATTTATTATTTTTTGTGTTTATTATGAAATTGGTCTTAAATTTATTTTTATTCGGCATTAAAAAGTCTTAAATTGAACTTGTCTTAAACTGTAGGAACCCTGTTATAAATTCTCGTCACATTGCCTGCATCAGCTGATGACGTCATCAGTAGCTCCGCCCCCTGGCCTGTGCACTGCTCTGGGCTTCTGGGGATTTTCCTCAGCTCTGCTGCTTCCAGGAAGTGTGTGAAAGCAGCTGGGGGAGGGGAAGTGAGCTGTGTTCAGTGTGCAGCTCCCTGCTTGTCTGGTAAAAGTGAAACTGCTGCAGGTTGTTTGTTTGTTGTCGGGAGTTTTACTTCTCACAGACTCAGGTTGGACGTCCTGTTCTCTGCACGTACAGGGTGTGTGTTTTTAAGGCTGAACTCCTCTGACAGCTGTTTGTGTTTTTCTGCAGGATGACTGAAGCTCATTTTATCAACTATGACAATGACGTGAGTGATTTTCTTTTTGTGCTCTTTGTGCTGTTTTATCTAGAAATCCCACCCTGATCAGATGAATAAACTGTAGCTGAGAAGAAACATCAGAACAAACTCTTCAGTCATGTGTAAAAGTACCACAAAATGATGAGTAAAAGTACAAGCATCTTACAAAAAATGACTTTAGTAAAAGTTAAAATCTCCTTCAGGAATATAACTTGAGTAAAAGTGTTAAAGTATGTGATATTTGTTGTAGTTAAGTAGTAAAAGTGTTAAAGTATGTGATATTTGTTGTAGTTAAGTATTAAAAGTCAAAGTGTAGATTTAAAATGAGCAGTTAGATTTTCTGTAAGGACATTTATTAGG